AAAGACTTGCAGCGCGGTTCAGAAGACAAGCAGACTGTCCCAGGGAGTTTACCTGTAACGGACCTTCAGCATCGCCTTGTTTGTAATACGCCACCGGGATGAATGCATACCAACCAACATGAAAGGGTGAAACGATATGGTAATTTGTGTCGGTGGGATGCGTGATGTATTCCTGACGTTTGTAGCAGGGACCTCTCCGCTTCCGCGTGTACCCATCAAAACTGCGGCCGTGTGTGTGCATGCGTGTGTGTGCGTGCGGCTGACGCTGAGCCTTGACCCCGTGTCACGTGGAAGGGGCGTAGTGGCGGCGCACGTGCTGCGAGCCCCACGGTTTCGCGGAACAGCGCTGCCCAGCAGAATCCAGCACAAACGATCCGAAAAGGGTCACCGGGGCCACCGCCAAAGCTGAGTCGTATAACGCAAAGAAGTCGTCCAAGTGTAAGCTCGCGCGTGTGTGTGCGTGTGTTTGTGCATGCATGGGCGGGGTCCCCGGAGCGGAATCGATATTTCGGCGTGCACGCCGTTTCACTCCTCATGGAGCGGGGATCAGGTAAAGGTGATCTGAAAATGGAAAAGTTCACATACATGTAAAAGGAAGTACTTTATTTCCCTTTCAAGTATAAAGGTATGCAGCATCAATGAAATTTCCTAATTTAAAACACGAAGTATTCAATTGCAATACATTCCCTGCACCGGCTACATGTACACACACGCACACACGTGGAGCACAGAAAGTCGGCCATTTTGTCTCTGTAGGTGTTGTTAGGTAGGCCTCTCGCATCCCAGCGGCATACATTGTTTAGCACTTGACGGTCACGTATTCCCCTCCCCCTCTCCCTCTGGACCCTCGCCTCCAGGAAGGGTGTAGTCCACGTCGGTAGCAACACAAGACGGGGACTAAGTGCCAGGCGTTACCTGTGCCTCCTCCCATCTGTGGCCTTAGGACCGCCAGCTGAAAGACACAAATATCCTCCACTTGACCAGCTATGGACAGAGTTCATTGGGCGCAGAGGTTCCTTCGGCGTTTCACTGGCAGAAGAACAAGTTGATTAAACCGCATAATCTAATTTGGATCCACGTAACGAGTGGGAAAAAGACAGCGACCGAAATGACCCTCAGTCCGCAGGTGCTGGCCCCACCCACTTCCTGCGTCCTCCAGCGTCGGCAGTCTGTGACGGTGCGTGTGTGCGTCGGTGTGGGTGCGGCTGCTCCAAGTTATTCATGACTGACCTGCAGTGAGTCGTTCTTCGGCGTCACACCCACACCTGGGCGGCGCCCGGCCTTGCCTCCAAGACGCGGAGAAGGCGGAGCTTGCCATCAAATGATTGTTTTGCTTCGCGCCGTGTTCCAGGGTTGTGTGTGACGGTCATGGCGACTCGGCTGAAGCAATTACCCCGCCAGTGTGCCAGGCTACTGGGTCGCGAAATGTCTGGCTCACCAGGTCCGGTTCGCACTGGTCAAAGTTTCCGCGGTTGGAAGGAAAGCCGGGGTCTGGTCCCGAGGAGAAGGGGCCTTTCGGTTCGACAGAGGACGGAAACCGTCCGGCTCAGCCGCCGATTGGTTTTGGCTAGTTGGTTAGGCACGCCCCTCTGCCCTGCTCGGCCGGGCCTGCAGCCCGACTGCACCACCCAGTGGCAGGTCCCGGTCCGGCCAGGCCACGCCAGTCTGGCGTTAAGAGTGGGGTTCAGCCCCTGTTAGCGTCCCTGTCATCCAACGCTGCCTTTCGCAACTCCAGCCGCCAGCACAGCTTCCTCGAAGCCCGGTCGATCTGGGGCATAATGCACGTCTCGGTGAACACGTATTGCTGTGTGACCTCAAAACTTCCATCCGAAAATTAATTTGTACCTTATAGATGTTTCATCTTTTTTCGTATTGTGGAGAAAATGTCCACGATAATGCGTTAGTGCAGCCTTTCACCGAAAGGCATCCGGAGCGTGGCAGAGCCGGTTGCGGTTGCGCACCAGGTGGGCCCGATAACGTTCGGCCTGCTAGAAGATGAGTACGTGTTCCAGCTCAGCCACGTCACCAACAGGTGCCGGAGCCCCTCTGCGTTCGGATGAATATTTGATGGAGATGGCGATAGCCAAAGTTGGCCGGGCGGGCTGCCTCACCCCGTCGACGAGGAGTCTTTGTGACCCTGCAGCCTGCGGCCAGCCCTCTTTAGCCTGTTTCAACAATATTGACCGGATCTGCCGGTGCCACCTGCACAAACAGGGTGGGCCATCGACCGCCGCTCCAGCTATCGGCATCAGCAAAAATCAGGGGGTAAACAACTTTGAACGGTGTTGTTGCTGGCGGCAATGTGGGGCAGAAGGTTGTTGCGCCTTCACTGAGGGTTTCGAGTTGAGGGCTGCCAAGGTGCGCAGAAAGATGGGGCTCAGGCAGACGGCCAATCGTATGCAAATTCTCCTGGGACGCCGCGTCTGGAGCACTCTAACTGGCTCGGCGGGCCGCGGTGCCGCGGTGCCAGTGGCTCTAGAAGCTCTAGAAGCAGCAGGTCTGTGCCGGGGGCCGTCTCGCTGGGCCGCAGGGACTGCTGCAAATGCGGCAGGCGAACACAGAGCGACAAGACGGCGTTGTCGCTGCTAAAGACCCCGTCCGACGGTCCTCTCGGCGGCAGTGCAGCACAAAACGTAAAAACAGAAGAGGAGCGGCACGCAGACGAGCGCTAAGAACAGCAAACCGTCGTCTGCGGCCTCGGGTGAGGCACGCTGATCCCCTGATCCCCGGCATAATGAACAGCCTCGGGGAATAAAAATGAGTGGTCTCTTTCTCTCCCTCTGTTTCTCGGAATGCCCCGCTCCGCTCGCTCCCTTCCCTTTCTCACTCAGCAGCACCCCGACGGTCTCCGACCGAACAAAACCAATTCTAGTTCTACCGGGGCGGACGTTTTCCCTTCCCTGCCAGTTTTATTCCTTGAATCAATATCGCGTTCGGCAAAAATGTCGTTCTTTTTGTGAACGCCGAGGGCAAGAACTAATGTCTCTGCGTGCGCGGCCCAGCCTGCCGCGCCCCACGAACCCCCCTCTGTGTGCAGACGATTAGTCCTGGGATCCCTGCTAGCGGGAGTGCCACCCCTCCGGGCTGCAGGCGTCCAGGACCTCCAGGACCGCGTCGCCGAGGCCGCCTGGGGCTTGTGTGCAATGCACCTGCAGTGCTTGTCTTGCACTTCATTCCTGCCATCCCAGCTCTTTGTGTGCTTCCTACCCCACTCTCCGGTTTGTTCCCATTTCGCCAAAGTGCCGGCAAGAGACCCGCGGAACGCCGCTCGGCTAACCCGAGTGACGATCGGTAGCTCCGGAGGACAGGCAGGAGCAGTGTGCTGCCTCGGCAGCCTCCGCCCCCTTCTCGCCTGGCGTCACGTTTTTCGATTCGTCCCACGAGGAAAACGCGGCGCCATTAAAACAGCGACCCGGTCTAGCCTCGCGTGAATTCCGGCTGGCCGCGCCGCCGACCGGCTCCGAGACTCGTGTTCGTCTCTCTCGCGCCCAAGCGGCACGCCCAGTGAATGCGAGAGAGACAGACTCTCAGGCTGCCGCCGTGCCGCTTCACCCGCCTGGCGATGCCTTCCGCCGCGCTGCGTCCGGCTCCAATCGGCGCGCGTTGTGCCAAACAGCAGAGTCCGTCTCTCTCGCGTTCATCAGGCGCGCCGTGTTGGCGTGGCCGAGAGACAGGGCGAGAACGGCTCGCCGAATCCTTGTTTTGGCGGCGTCCAGACTTAATCGGGGGCGAGGCAAAACGACGAGCGGGGCACTCGTTGGGCCGTGCTTGTGCCGGACAGGCTGGCCAACTGCATCGAGTCAGGGTGGCAACCGCTCCACTGCTGGAGTCTCCAGCTCCGGTCGCTAATGAGTCCGGGAGGCCTGCCGCCGGTCTTCAAGTCACGGCGAGAGAGACAGGCCGACGGCAACGCCATGACCGTCCAGCTTGACTTTCCAATCAGTCGCCTCGGCTTCGACCTGCACGGAGCGGAGTCTGCGAGGGCTGGCTCTCTTCGCCCTCGCTGACTGATGAGGCCGGCTGGTGCAGTCTCTGTTTGCTCAACCCCATTCAGCTCGCTGGAGGCCGCCAGCGCCGAGGGCAGTGTGTGTGCCGTGGTGTGCCCCCAGCGGCGCAGGCGGAGCGGCAAAACAAATACTTTTTGAATTGGCGCGCCGGCTGATTAGTAGGGGCGCTTCACACCGGGCGCTTCACACTGTGCCGACGATGTGCGCCGCAGCGTCGAGCGTACTGCGGCTTCGGCCTTCGGCTGGCTGCCCTTAGGGAATCTCGCTGCCGGAAGCACACCCAAACTTTATCCAGGAACAACACTGAAAATGCCCTCTCACCCCGGGCGGGACAAACACCCGCAAAGTTATGCGTGGCGTCCACCTTGGAAATTTATACACTACCCGCTGGTTGTTACAGGGGTAGGAGAGGGAGGGGGCTGGTCTTCATAACGTTGCAGGGAGCGGCCTTTCCGAGGCCTGCGTTGTGGGCCCTGCAACGCCTTTCTCCTCTCCTTTTCCCCCACCCTTCCGTTTGAACAGGACTGCACCCTGGCGGCCCAGAGGCCTGCTCTTCTTTTATGCATATCCAACTTGCCGTGTCATGTCCCTTCCCTCCAACTTCCATTTTTGTCCTGCCGACCAATTTGCGTCGTTGCCGGCCGAACGGCAGACGCCGAGGAGGCCTGCATTTCGGCGAGGTGGCCCGGCGCGGGTCTGGGATCCCTGATGCACTGCGGGGAGATGGGATGTTAATGAGGAAATTGGCTGCGGAGTCTAGAGGAGCCTGGAGAGGCGGCCTAGGGAAGCCTGCACCAAGCGACGGAGGGAATCTGCAACCGAGTTTCCCTAAGCTGACTTGAGCGGCAATCAACACGCGAATAAGCGCAGCACAATAGTCTCCAGCACTATGCAATATTCAGAGGCTGGCTGAATGCAGAGACAACGACCAGATAAGCTGCCGTGGATACATAGCGGGTCTTTGCTAAAACCGTTTCTGTGTTTTTGTTGCAGAGGAGGAATGGGGCGTCGGAGGCAAAGGGCGGGGGCCCGGAGACCTGGGAGGTAAGTGGACTGCGCTGTGCAGCGCTAACGAGGCACTGCCCTGTATTTTATTATTTCATCTTTTCGGAAAGCGGCGTCATTGTGCTATCCCGCTCCGCCATGCGCTTCCGTATTGTGCGATTGTGCGGCAGCTCGGTGGCCCTGCGCGCACTGGCCAGAGAAATATAGCAGTGGCTGCTGCGCGTTTTCTACTTGCTTGTTCGCACTAGGCGCCAACGCTCGCTTGTAACTTTACTCCTTGCGCTGCGTCCGTGTTTCCCGTTGGGGAGCCGCGGGGTCGGACTCGCGAAGATCCTATTTCATGACGGCAGTGTACCGCCGCGCCCCTGGTTGCCCTGGCAACCCCTGGCCGGGCCGGGCCCACTCCTAGGCTGCCGCGCAAAATACCCGGTCCTGCGCGAACATCGCCGCGAGAGGAAGAATTGCCATTTCCAGAGGCAAATCGAACGCCGTGCTCCCCGTCTGGCTGGGCTGGGTCTCCTCCGGTCTCCTCTTTTTCTCCTCCCCCTTCTTGCTGCCGGCTGTGATCGTGGGGCTGCCGTACAGCACGTCGCCTTCAGGTGGCCAGCACAGTGGGCCAGAAGACCGGCAGCCAAAAATCCAGACGCGTTTTGAGCTGCAGAGTCGCTAAGCAGGACTCGAACCAAGCGTTTGACCCCACCAATGGATTGGCGCCACCGGTCTTCTGACCCACAGTGTCACTGCCAGCAGCCGTCAGAAGGCATCCCACTTGTTCGGCCAGCGTGTTGCCTCCACTGTAATGCGAAATTAGCCGCCGCTCGTTCATCTCCCGGCCAATCTTCCTTACCTGCTGCGTTCCTTGCCGGCCCACTGTAAGCCCCGTCGGAGTCGGAACGCCGACCCGCGCCGCAAAGTGGGCTCAAAGTATTCTCGCAGCAGCAGGCGATGTTCCGGCCCAAACTTACGGCAACTAAATTTAAGAGCGAGGTACACGAAGCGCGCTTTCGGTCTGCGCGAGGTGCGCCTTCCGCGGAATGACACCGAACTCAACAAACGAGCGTCGTCCTCCACTCCACCCCTATGCCTTTCGCCTTTCCCCCGATTCCGAGAAGTCGTGCAATTAGGGGCCCGAAGGCCCTCATCCCGGGTCGCTCTCTCTCGCACCCGAACGGGGCGCCCCGCGAGTGCGAGCGAGAGCGGTGCTCACTGCTCGCCGTCTCGCTCGTCTCGCCCGCAGCCAGGAGCGAATACCACCCGCCCCATTAACTTTGTTGGGCGGGAAAAACGGTGGAGCTGTCTTCGACATCGAGATGGCGGGCCCGCCCGGCGCCCGGGCTGCTGGCTTGTTGCTCGCGGCGCAGCGGGGCGGGGCGGGGCGGGGCGGGGCGGGGCGGGCGGGGTGCGCCACTTTCGCGGAGCAAGGCATGGGGTGGGGTGGGGCCCTGGCAAAAAGTCGGATAACGTTTCCAACGTGACCGCGGTGCTCTGCCACCACAGCTTGACCCTCCTCGACCCCTAGTCTGCTGTCTAGAGCGCCCCTTGGCGGTTTCCCCAGACTTCCCCTTCCTCCGTCCATCCACTTCCCCGGCGTTCCCGCGGCATTCCGCGATCGAGCCGTCGGCCCACTTTCGACACCCTGACCGTCGCCGTGCCTGGGGTGTCCGGGGGTGTCGAGCCCGTTGAACCTCTCGACGTGAACGCGATGCGACGCCGCGACGCCTCGACCCGTCTCGACTCGGCGCCGCGACGCGGCCCTGGTTCGCGCGGCGCCCGCGCAGATGGCGCGCCACGCGGCACACCCGGCGAGGGGTGGGCCGCCGTGCCGTGGGCCGCCGTGGCGCGGGGTAGCGACGCCGTGCCCGCGCGCACGCCGCCGAGGGAAGGAGTATCCGCAAAGAGGTGGTTGAACTCGGCCGGAACAGCGGAGCAGCCCCCGGCCGGTGGTCGCTCCGTCAACAGCCCGAGACTCTCAGTGTAATTGTTTATTTCTGTTTTGAGAGGGCGGCGCTGTGCGGCAACCAGAAGCATTTCCTCTTTTGAATAGCCGCCCGCTGTCAAACCGACTTTCGAGAGGGGATTTCAAAGCGCGTCCCGGGGCTAGCTCTGTCACGCCAAAGTCGCGAAACAACACAAACAGCAAGTGACTGGCCTCGCAGCGGCCGGCAGCGTTGAGGTTGGGTCGGTCGGCCGCAGGGGTGGGTGTGTGCATGTGTGGGTGGGGCTAGGTGGGGCCAGTGCTGCCAACGCTCCGCGGGGTGGCACGGGGTGCCTTGGGGTTGGCCGCCCTGCGTCAAAGTGTCTGCCTCGTGCTCAGTGCCGCCGCTCCTCGGCCAGCCAGCGCAGAGCCCCGCAGAGCAGCGCAGAGCAGCGCAGAGCCGGCGCAGCGCGCGCAGTGTCGATCTCTGCCGGAGAGTCAACGAACTCGAGTCGCTATTGATTAATTTCCTCGCCGGGAAGGCTGGGAAGGGGAGGCCTGCCTGCCGGGCTGCCTGCCGGGGCGCCGCGTGGCCGCGTGGCTGGCGAAGGGCAGGGCAGTGCCTGCTAGTGCCGCTGTTTTGGGAGTAGGGAGTACGCACCCAGCGCGAGGCCGGTTCGCACCACGGCTCTGCGCTCCGCTCCGCTCGCTCGACTCGCTCGACTCGCTCGACTCGCTCGACTCGCTCGCTCCGTCCGCGCCGCTCCCGTCTGCCGGGTCGTCCCTCGTCGCCCTCGGTCGCCGCGGTGGTGGCGGTGCGTGCCGCGTGCCCGCGCGCTGCCCGCCCCTGCGCGTCGTGGATGTGGAGTGCTCGCCGGAGTCTGAAACGACGCTAGGATTACGTCCTCAACCAATGGCTGGGCCACATCCTCCCTGGATGGTGAGTGAGTGCAGTGCGGTGCCAACACACTGCAGGGCCGGAATCTCGTGCACTACGAGACCAAGGCTCATTTTGCTAACGAACAAATAAGTCGGGAAATAAAATTTTACGACGCATCTTTCTTGTACTCGTCACCAACTAGGTGCGTGCCAATCTGGGCCGGCACTCGTTCTCACTTCTTTCATGTAGATTCGATGTACTCGCTCGTTTCCTCTTACAAGAGCACCGTGTTGCCTCGCCGTGAAGTGTTCGCGATCGCGTTTTCCAGTGTGTGTCCGTCGTGCGTTGAGAGCTTTTCCCGAATCAGCTGGCCTAACCCCAACCCCTCCCCACGGGCCGCTCCTCCCCGGCCGGCCCCACCCAGCCCCGCCCTGCCTGACCCGTCGTATCTTCACAGTGAGGGTGGAGCTCGCTCAGCGGGGACCCTGTCGCATGTAAAGAAAGTGGTGACTCACTCGCGCTGCGTCCTCGGGCGAATTTCTGGAATACGACCAGAACGACAGGAAGGTTGTTGTTGTTGGAATGAGGTCACAGCGGCGCGTCTATTTCCTTATCTGCTCCGAGACGCTAGCCCAGCCCCGCCCCCTGGCGCGCCCTGGCGTCGTCGCGGCCGTCCTGGCTGCGGACGGACATCTGCCAGTCGATCTTGACGATCGATAGTATTGGCCTCGCCGCCAATCAATAGCCTTTGGCTGCCGTTGGCCTGATGCAAGTCCTTGCAGTGGAGCGTCGCCCCGCCGGCATTGCATTACATTTGCCGCGGAGATACGTCTTCCATCGGCTCCGCTCTGCAAAACGCGTCGAGAAAAAACAGACACCCGCGGTGGTGGTACTCGAACTCGTGCCGGGGCGGTGCGTCGGTGCCCCTTCCTCGAGGCGCCTGGCCCGCCTCGCCCCGCCGGGCTTGGCTTATCCCACACTGCATTATGCATCGCGACCCGGTCTGATTTCCAAGCAGACGGCGGCGTGCTTGTCGGCGCGCGGCACGGCCAGACCGAGGCGAGACCGAGGCGAGACCTCGCCGCCCGGCTCGGCCCGGCCGGGGAGGGATGACGAGGATGACGGGGAGGCTCATCTCTAATTTGGCTTGGCGCCCCGTGCTCCGTGCCACTGCGACTCCACTCCGCCGGACGGTCGGCCGCCGCAGTAGTTAGCGAACTGGCCAGCCCTTTGGGGGAGGCTCCCGGCCTCTGTCTGTCTGTCTGTCTTACTGTCTGTCTGTTTGTCTGTCTATCTGTCTGCGAGCGCGTGTGTCGTCCTCGTCCTCTCATCGCTCATTACCGGCCAATCTAGTTCCAATTTGGCCGTTTCGCCGGGAATCGAGTTTTCGTGTCGCGCGGGGCCGACGGGGCACGGGGCCGACGGGGCCCCCGACATGGGCCGGGGTGGCGGCGTGGCGACGCGTGGCAAAGCGGGGAGTATGTGGTGCCGCCCGCCCTCTGGCCTGGCCTGGTCCTCTGGAGGGAGAGAGAGGGGAGGTTCGCGCCGCCGAGCGCCACCCTCGAGGCACCCCGGACCGCTCTCACTCCAAGTTGTTTGTCGTCGCGGCGGGCCGACGGGCACCCTCCAGCAGCCTCCAGCAGCCCAACGCCCCCGGCGGCCTGGAGCGAGCATGGCCAGTCGCTGGGTGGAGTCTCCAGCGCGTCTCCAGCGTCGGTTCAAACGAGGCCGCGGCCCAATTAGCGCCGAGAAGCACCTGCTGGTCCAAAACAGTCTCTCTCGCACTCACGGGGCGCCCCGCGTCGGTGCGAGAGAGAGAGCTGTTCGGAATCCCGAAAGCGCGCTCCACTGGCCAGGGACTCCATTTCTGGCTGATGTGTGGAGCAGGTGCGGGCATGCCGCGTTCCAGTTGGACAATCTCCGCAGTGATTGTCTGCGACTGCCAAGCCGTCGGGCCGTCAGGGCTGTGACGGCCCGAAGGCTGTGCATCGTGAGTGTGTGTGTGTGCCAGTGTGTGTGCGCGCCGCGTGTGCCCCAGGCCAGCGCCCCCGGGGCCCAGTGTGTGCTGTGTGCCACTGTGTGCCACTGTGTGCCACTGTGTGCCGTGCGCGGAGCCCCCGCGAGCCCCGGCCAGGCCATAGTCGTCGCTCCCCCCCCCCTTTTCTTGCAGACTCGCGTTGTTCTCACGGCCGGGCCCTAACGAGTTGGGGGTGGAAACTTCTCCGGCCGCGGTGGACAAAGTCC